GAGGCGCGCGGGGCTCCTTGAGGCGCGCGGGGCTCCCTGAGGCGCGGGCAGCCCGGGAGCCTCCACCCGCTCCCGCCGCCGCTGACAATTATGGAACGAAAATCCGGTTAGGGAGGCTCTCCATAATCCGTGCCTCACTCTTCCAGCACAAGCTGGGGAAGGGCACTCCCAGCTCCTCCTCCGGCGGTGTCGCCTGCTGTTTAAATTTTAATTTTCAATAATGTTTCCATGTCTTCTGCGCCTCCTGGAGCCGTGACATCTTTTTGCTTCCCTGCACGCTGCTCCTTGTGGCACAGACATCTCTCCAACTTGTCCTAATCGCACTTGGAGGCCGAAAGGGGATGGATCAGGCCAGGCTCTCATTAGACCTTTAAGATTAGTATCTTGTTTAGTAACTGGGCACAGATGAACCACAGCAGCTTATCTGTGTGACACCAATTTCTGCGGCAGGGTCCCACCTTCTTCTGGTTTGTTCACTTGTTACATCAGGTTGATATTCGCGTCCATAAGATCATTGCAGGAGCATTGGGAAAGGAAGCTCCTGGATTTTGCTCAGCAAATACACATTGTGCAAATAAAAAGCAGCTACTCACTTGCACAACAGGACTGAGCATTAAGGAGCTGCAAATCCACTGAGCTCTGTGATCTGCTAATTCTGGAGTATTGCTTTGTGCAATGAAGAAGTATAGAAGTTTCCACGGATGTTTCTGTGCCCCCCATTTGACTGTTGTTATTGGCTATAGTGAGAGAAATGTGAGCAAAATGGTGTGATGGACAACACTGGCAATTAGAATTTATAATCCAGTACAGACAGTTTAGACGTCTATATAAAATTTCTAATGTGACGCTGGATTTGAGTAACGAAATAGATTTTATAGTGTCTGTAGGAAGTGAATGGTTGGGAAAACTTCCATAACTAACTGGCTAGAGATTAAGACTTTTTAACAGACACCAGAGGTCAAATTGCTGTACATCCAGCCTAGATTTTTCAATCTTTCTTCAGAAGATGTTCTGGAAGACTCAAGTGATAGCTAATGTGATCTATGTCTGCAGCCTCTCTTCTCTGGTACAACTAATGCAGGCAGCCTAAGCATAAACACAGTTTTCTGGCTCTGTCACTTTCTTAAGGCTGGACATTCACATCAAGAAAACCACCTACAGAATTACTTTGCCTTAGCATTTTTCACGGGTTTAAGAGGGGAAAGCAAGAAAAAGCAAAGATGACGTCTCCTCCCAGCATCTCGTATACGGAAGCCATTCAGAACATGTTTAGGAGATGCCTGCATAGCCATTCTACTCTTCTATGAACAGGCTTCACGGTGGTTAGTCTGACCCGAGCTGTTAACTGTATTTTGCACTACTTCACTGATGCTTTACAACATTACCTCATTCTTTTTCCCCTTCATAACCTCAAGTATGCAATGGCCTGCATCAAGAGGAGCGTTGCCAGCAGGTCGAGGGAGGTGATCGTCCCCCTCTACCCTGCTCTGGTGAGGCTGCACCTGGAGCACTGTGTGCAGTTCTGGGCTCCCCAGTACAAGAAGGACATTGAACTTCTAGAGAGGGTCCAGCAGAGAGCGACAACGATGATTAAGGGACTGCAGCATTTGTCATATGAGGAAAGACTAAGTGAGCTGGGCCTGTTCAGCCTGGAGAAGAGAAGGCTGAGAGGAGATTTGATTAATGTGTTCAAGTACCTGAGGGGTGATTGCAGGGAGGATGGGGCCAGGCTCTTCTCCGTGGTGGCTGGTGACAGGAGGAGGGGTAACAGGTTTAAGTTGAAACACAGGAAGTTCCACCTCCATATGAGGAAGAAGTTCTTTGAGGGTGCCAGGGCCCTGGAACAGGCTGCCCAGAGGCTGTGGAGTCTCCTCTGGAGATCTTCAAAACCTGCCTGGATGCCACTCTGTGCCCCATGCTCTGGGTGTCCCTGCTGGAGCAGGGAGGGTTGGACTAGATGATCTCTAGAGGTCCCTTCCAACCTCAACCATTCTGTGATTCCATGAAGTACAGCTCAATGTAAGTATGGTGCAGAGTCTTTATACGTTGGGTAAAACGAGTCTTTTAAAGAAGCCTTCATTTCTCTTACTTTAAACAGGGGAAGATCTTGGAGAAGACTGGAATTTGCAGTCAAATCACTTTTGGTCGATATATGCGAAGGGGGAGGAGACTAGCCGTGGATCCAAAGCTCTTTATCCAGGATCTGCAGTTTAAGAAAGTACCTGTGAGGGTTTATCAGCCTACAGCTCCATCCGATGGGCGAAGAAGAGGTATCATCTTCTTTCACGGAGGAGGCTGGGTATTTGGAAGTCTTGGTAAGATATTTGCTGGAGGCATTATAGTAATTTGGAAAGAACATTCTTATCTCTTTGTAAAACGTAAATAAGGCTGTGACTGGGGAGGGCTGTGGGGAGAAGATCCGAGGACACATACATTGTCTTCTAGAAAGTAACATTTTTTAGCTTTCTCAAAGATTAGAGCAAAGAAATAATGAAAACATTTCTTTTCCAGATACCTATGAAAAAGTATGCCGCTACATAGCCAGAGAAAGTGAATCGGTAGTTGTATCTGTTGAGTAAGTGACTGCTATCCAGTTCTGTGGTTTGGAGATTAGTGTTGCTGTGATGCCATGGTAAACTTGCAGGGTTTTGGAGATGTTCTTTCTCACAGAGAAAACCCATAAAGAAATAAATAGAGCTTTAGTGGTCATTTGGTCAAATAATCAGAAAGGACCCAAATGACAATATTTGGTGCAGTAAGAAAATATGCAAAATTCAAACAAAATTAAAGTAGAACATGGTTCCCTCTGCTGACCATGTGAAAACATAGTAAGATACTCGAAAGCCTTGTGATTTCTGGGAGAAAAGAGAAAACAAAAAGCATTGTATTACCCTCATTTTGCATATTAAGAAGTAGTACAAAATGATTAAATTAGTCAAGAAGAGTCAGGCAGTTTTCAGCACAAAAAAGAAATGGGTTACAAAGGCTCATTCCATTCCTTAACCAGCTGATAATTCTACTGTACTGAGTCCTGGTGATTGAACATGCAAATTATAGCTTATTTGTGTTCACTAATTGGGAAATGCCTGCTTAGAAAGTGACAAGTATTCTCGGAGGAAAAAACATAAACACAAAACAGTAGGGCTAGAAGTCATAATAAAGTGCTGCTTTCTTATTAATACTATTGCCATCCCTTCTCTTGCTGTTTTTATGTCTTTCTGTGCATCAGGTACCGTTTAGCTCCTGAGCACAAGTACCCTGCCGCATATGAAGACTGTCTTAATGCCACCCTACACTTCATGAAGAATATCGAGCACTATGGGGTGGATCCTGCCCACATAATTGTCAGTGGGGACAGTGCTGGGGGCAATCTAGCAGCTGCTGTTAGCCAAACCCTTGCAAGCAGATCAGACCTCCCAAAACTACGGGCACAGATCCTGATCTACCCAGGTCTTCAGGCTCTGGATTTCAATTTACCTTCCTATCAGCAAAATCGGGCAGTCCCTCTCCTCCTCAGAGAACGTGCTGCTTTCTTTGCCTTGCAGTACCTAAACGGGGATGCATCGCATGTAGAAGAGGTCTTGGAAGGCTCTCACATTCCTGCAGATGTTAGGTTGAAGTATAGGAAGTGGGTGAGTGCAGATAATATCCCTGAAGAGTTTAAGGTCAGAGGTGTCAAGACGCTTGTGCCCACGGATTGCATAGCTGAAGTCTATGAGTCAGTGAAAAGGTTCTGTGAGCCCAACCTGTGTCCGCTTTTAGCTGAAGATGCCATCGTTCTCCAGCAGCCTGAGTCTTTCATCTTGACGTGCGAGTACGACGTGCTGAGAGACGACGGTCTGCTGTACAAGAAGAGATTAGAGGACAACGGTGTCCCAGTGACATGGTACCACATTGAGGATGGGTTCCATGGGATCATAAGCCTACATGATTACTGTGGGTTTTCATTTCCAGCTGGGAAAAGGGGACTGGACAGCATAGTTAACTTCATAAAAGGCTTAGAATAGGCATCTTACATTCCAGGAGTCTATTAATGCTGCAATCTAGGAAAATATCTTTTTAGGATACCTAGCATCAAGTGATGGATGGGTAGTCAGTCAAGCGCAGCCATTAAAAGGATAAACAAGGCTCATGTGAATCTTATTCCAGTTGTTGGACCACTGAGTGTTTAAACCTTTCTTACACATGCTTGTACCAGGCTGAAAGATCTTATCTTTAGCTATGTCAATAAATAAGAACATTGTTTTGAAGTGACATCCTGGTGTGTCCCTTTTGTTTTAAATAAAACTTGTCTGTGCAGAGAGATTGTGTGTGATGAACAAGTATGTGTGGTGTGTTGGTGTAAATGTGTGTGTCGCTTATATCACAGTGTTTTGAGGCATTAGGATCCGATTCTGAAGTCTACTAGAGAGAAAAAAAAAAAATCCATCTGACTGTAGTGAAATAGGAGCCACAGCAAATACCATCATATAAATATGCCTAGAATGTGGTTAGGGGACTGACAGTCACCGTGGAGACACTAAACACAACTGGTTCTAAACCGAAGCAGTTCCACAGATCACCCATGTTTCTGATCACACAACTGGTGGAGCTGGACTCCCCTCCTGCCCTATTTTTAGGGCTGGATTACTGAGTTATCTTTCACCTCCAGAGCTGGATAGTGCTGCTGGTGAGACGAAGTATGAGTGCATCGGAAATAGATGGACAGGACTGGTCGAAGATTGAACCCAAATACTCCACAAAAGTTCTGATTGGAAATTGGCTGGAGGAGAGGAAAAGGGTAAGATCAGGAAAGAAAGATGAGAAAAAGGATAGAGTGGGTCAGAACGAATGCTCTGGAGGTAGTTTACTACTGCACTGAAGAAATAAGCAGGGGAATGGTCTTCCATAGAAGATACCCCGTTTTTTTAGTATTCTTTCAACAGAGCTGTTAGGAACTGTACTGCAGGGACTACCTGCTGTGGCAGACAGTAGACCTAGGGGCAAAGAGAATTCACCAAACTATGATGACTTTTCAAGGGCTGTGTAACATCTTATATTGACACCAAGGAATCAATCCAGATTTTTACAATGGCTGATGATACTAGCTGGCTTTACCATTTGAGATAAAGTATGCAGAACAGGCTTCTCTGCAAGTAAGTCCTTTTAAAAAACATAGATGAAGAAGGTAGCACTGGAGCAGACTTCTAAAATTATCAGATTGCCTTAGCTATACTGAGTGTTGTGTATCTCTCTAGTTTATAAAAGTCAGTGAGAAACCCGGCAACAGCACGTACAGAAAAGACTTCATTTGCTTCCTGGATCACAAACCAGACCAAACATCAAGGAGAACCTTTATGAAGAGAGTCATGGTATGTAAAAGAAATGTCATAGGTAAGGTTGTGTATGCCAGCACTCCAAACAGCTATGAATTATGGCTAATACTTCAATCCTATTTTATATTCTTAAATGAGTATGTGTCAAAGAAGGCACCATACCCCAGTGGCTGGTTTAGAGCATCCAGAGCTACCTCATAAGGGGGTCAATGCAGGGTCCCTTCAGAGTTAGAGAAGCAGCACATATCCTGTGATACTGGGGCTGCTTCTCAGGACCTCCTGCATCGCTGGGCAAGTATTCACAAATCGCTGCGGTATCACTGATGGCCCAGTGTGGCTTAAAAGCGTGCTAAACCATCCAAATGTTTTCCCCATACACCAATAGCATGGTTTCCTATTCATCTCTCATATTCATCTCATTTCAGGGCCTCCCAAAGCAGCATTTCTTCACACATCACAAGGAGCCAAGCAACCGAAATTTAGTATCAGATTACGATGACAGCTACAACAGACACGGTCACAACATCCTGCTGCCTCCCCTTCGCAGATGGAACGGACACAGCTTGGCCTGGATTCCTGAGAAATCAGATTTCCCCATTCTCGGTAGTTTTTGGTACTATTAATTCAAAGAAACAGAACACTGCGTAGCAATCAATGTACAGGCTGGGAGCTGGGAAAGCCCTTTAGTTTTAAAAAATGTCCTGAAACCAGATCTTATTAATATTTAATCATTTCTTGTTTCAGAACCACCCACCAACTATGGCCTTCTTGAGCAGCTAATGAAAAAATGGCACAAGAAAGAAGCTGGAGTGATGAACAGCATCTACACTGTTTCCTATGAAAAAATGCCTATTTCTGCTTTTGCTACTCGTCAACTTAGACGACCAGCTATAACTGGTGGCTTTTCTTCCAGCCAGGGACATATTCCCCATAATGTTAGGACAATACTAGACTATGATGGGGCTCAAAAATATCTGAAAGCTCTAGGCCAGCTGGCCAGAAAGGCAACAAATTGATGCATCTGTGTAAACTATTTATGGCGATTTCACGTGGTACTTAAATACAGCTTGTTGCTCATATACTTAAGAATATCTGATCGATGTGAATGGAATGAGAATTAGGTTACATAAGTGTGACTAGTTAGAAGAAGTTATGGGTTATATTCTGAACTGCAGTTGTCTGGAAATGTTTCTTCAACAGAAAAGGAAAACAAAATTTCCATCTGTCAGTTTATAGACAGTTTTAGTACAAAAAATAAATTGGGACGATCCTAAAATAACTTATTTCATTTTTATACAACTTTCTAGTGTTTCTTTAAAGAAAGAGGAGAAAAGAAACCTGTGTTATTCTGAATCATCTAAGACTGAAGTAAGCAAGTGAAAGGGCTGGCTATCTAAGCACAAGGTGAATCAAGGTTTCTCCCAGCCCTTCATTGCCCTTGGTGTTACTTACTAAAGGCACTTACTGCTAGATAAGCTGCAGAGCGAAATACATTAGTTGGCCCCGCATTACCAAACAGTAATTGAAGAGAAAATAGCAGTAGGTGGCCTTTATGTTGCTGATGGATCAGAGTAGGTCACCCTGATACATTATTAATTAATAGGAAGCCTGTAAATGACCTCTATGCAAAGTGCTGACAAAAGTCCGGAAGCCCAATGGCAGTTATGTGCAGGTTCTGCATTTAAACTGCATTTTATCTCAAGGAGATATATTTGTAAGGTTCAGCTGCTATAGTTCTTGGGCTCAGCAGCAAATCTTCAGCAAATTAAAGGCTTGAATTAAATATATTTGCAAGTATTGCAATTACTTCAGTACATATTTCTCTCCTAATTAATTTGGATCAAGATTAGCAACAATATAATTATTTTAGACAAAAAAAATAAAGTATATTCCTTAAGTCTTGGCATGGTCAAGCCTCTGGCCATAACCAGTACAGAGTTATATATCTGCACAGAGCTACATTTTAGTCACTGTGATTTAATTTTGCTTTTTTAAAGTTGAATTGATTTTCAGCTTAGTAACATAGACATATCTGTGTAGAGCAACAGTGACATCTACTGACAAAAGGAGTATTTACTGATGTTTGTGAGACATCCCCAAACATCTGCTATAGGTGCAGGATCCCCAGCTGGGTGCACATCAGACAGCAGCATTGCTGATGACAACGTTTTGAGCTGGAAGAGCCCCGATAATTAGATAAAGCATTCATTAGCTTCCAAGTCCAGGGAAGATCAAAGACAACTTAAAAACAAAATGAAATAATCACAATAATAAAAGGTAAAAGGGAGCACTGAACCTCAGCCAGTTACTGGCACTGTGGTGTAAAAAACACTTTATGTCTGAAAAATTAAGTTTAAAGAAGGTATCCCTTACAACATGGTGAAATCTGGCAGATACATCAATTCTTGTATCCACAAGGAATTCCATCCATATTCATTTCATTGCCTCTAAGTAGTGTATTTCTGTTTGTTACCCATGTGCTAATATTATTAAAGCAAATACAAACCAGCCATGCACCTTAATAGTAAAAGAAATCTCAAGATCTGGAATAGTGATTAGACAATTATAAAAAGGTGTTGTTCATTTTGCACAGCTCTATCAGTTTGCTTAAAAATATTTATAAATGATTGATGAGCAGATGAAATATTCATAGTAAATGAAACATTTATGACTATTATCTACAGTGCTTCTAAAAGCAAAGCTCACATATGGAGAGAAATGACCAGCTTAATGCACAGGGAATTGCTGGCATGTGCAAGCATCACCTATGAAATTTTCATGAAGAAAGTCACTCCGAACCTATAAGAAGACTCGGTAGTGCTCCCCAAGCACAGGCCTAATCTGTTCAATTATTAATCCATTTACAAGTAAAATATACAACTATGATGCCCACAGGAACTAAATCCTGCCAGCAAACTGAATGAAATGCATTTTTCATCGACGGCTTCTGAAATATAAAAAAAATGCACAACACTACAAGTCATGTCAGTTGTGATTCATAACAGCCAGTAGCAAAGTATCTGCTTTGAGCTGTTTAACTGATTAGCTGCCCTCAGTTGAGCAATACTTAACAAGCAGCACAGATTTATAACTAGCTTTTTGGTGACTGAAGTTTCCAAGCCTATAAACTCATATTGTGGCAGAAAGAGTTAGGACTTCTCCATCTCTCAATCTGTGTTTGAGCCAGTGTCTGATTCCACTTTCGCCAACAACCAGCAGCAAAATGTGCCACCTGCATATCCAGCTTTTGCCAATAGAGAGAGGTAAACATATACAGAGATTTCTTCTTTTTTTTTTTCCAGTATTATTTTGCATTTGGCATCACTGCCATACTTTCTACTACAGTGGAAAATGCAGATAAAAATGGAGGATTTTTATCCTTCCTTCAGCCTACAGCTGTAGTTCATAGAGGCTACTTCTTGCTGTAGGTTAAACAGTGATGTTTTACCCAATGCCCTTGGTTAAAATACTGGTGGGATAAAGACTCCTTCAGTAATAAATACTGGGTCTGTATCTAATGCAAACACATTCCACATCCCTCTCACACCTTTACCTGTTACAGGGACGTTTATTCACTCAAGGTGAAAACACTAAAGAAGGGGTTATCTTCTCTGTGCCTTACTATTACCTAAAGATAACAGAAAGTTACTCATCAGGTATTACCACTAAATATCACCATGCCAAAACAAGTTTTTTCTTTAAACGCAATGATTTCTTTAAACATTTTGATAGGTAGATAAATCCCAGCTTTACTTCAGACAATTCTTTAAAACTCAGAGCCTTGGGATCACTTGTGACCAGAAAGCAAGAGTTCACCAATTTCTTCAATTTTCACACAGTAAATAGATGTTTTGGTACAACTGTCTCTATGAAAACATTGCAGACAGCCTCAACTGTGTGAAATCAACCTCAGACCTGAACTTTTGTGACATTAGAGAGACAAGATGGAAGTTAAAATTGATGCACATCTCTCAAAGCAAGCATATTTCTTGCCTTGAAGGAGCCTGATGTCAGCCTAGATTAGCTGCATAAAAAAGAAGCTGGATTCTTTGGACTGAGGCTCTCAGTCAGGGCTGGGATTCACACAAGGCACAGTAATGCTGGCTGGCAAGTCCTGCAATGATTTGGGGCCGTGGATGCCAACTGCAAAGTGAGGGTGGTCACAGAGCCAAAATGGTGAGCGCCAGCGAGAAGAGAAACAAGGTTCACAAGGGGTGTTCCCATGGTCAGGAGGCCTCTTTGGAAAGTTATAAATATGCCCTAGAAGGTGCTTAAAAAAAGCTATCCAATAGTCAAGTTGTGACCAACCAAGCTGTTTTTAAGTGTAATTTAAGCACAATGCCCACTAAGTTCTGCCCTTCAGGTTTCCAGGAGCCCCCCATCTTAAAAGCAGTTATACACAACAGAAATGCTGCAGCATGTCATGAATCTAATCCATGCTGCACACTTTCTAATGAAGATATTACTCTTATTTTGCCTTGTTTTCTTACAACTTAAACCCTATTCAAGCCAAAAAGGCTATTTGTATGGAAATTACTTCCTAAAGGAATAACACTGGGGTACTGGCGAGCTGCTCTAGAACAGAATTAGATTTTTCTATATGTAAGTATGAGTAACTCTCTTGAGAGCATATAACAGAAAGAATGCTGTAGTTGCCATGATGGAGGCATTCGCTTTGAGCTCTGAAGGTCCCAAGTTTTATTCAACAATGACCCATGATGGGATTTATTACTTAAATAATATACAAGCTCTTTGGGGGCTGTAATGTCTGTTAAGAAGGAAAAACTCTAGGCACAGTCATTTCATAGGGAGCTGCTCTTTATCAGCACATACTTTTCTTCCTTCCATTGCAACACTGCTCAAGGATGTCAGGCTTGTTGGGCAGGATCTAAAACACTCAATACAGAGACAGCGCCCAGGTTCTGGACTGGTTAAACACACTAGCAGGATTTTAAAAATATATCGAACAAGCCACTCCAGTTCTTTAAATAAGAAGTCAGGATTGGCTGCACAAGTATGTACGTATCTGCTCCAGTGCTGTAAATATATAATTTAGGCTGCTGCCTCATGACATATTTTGTGTCTAATTTAAGGAATTGCATATTTGGACTAGAGGGTCTGGATGATTGACAGGTAAATATTACAAGCTGTAAATTTTCACAGCAGATTCACACTAAATTTAGTTTGCACTATATTTAAAGAGAACATTGACCAGATGGTAGCCTTTGTCCTTGACGGTGTTTGGACTCCGAGACAGTTAAGGGTCCCTAGAGGAATGCTCGTGGAGTCTCCCTGAAGCCATGAATATCCACACTCTGTCATGGCAACGGTGACATCCTCTATTTGAGGGCTCGAGTCCCATCGGCTGGCACAGAGCCCTGGCCTCCTTAGTTCACCTCAGGATGGGGAACACTCATGCCAGCTTAGGGAGAACGACCTCCAAGGCTGCGCGTTGCCTGGGCTTCCTGCGCACCTCAGCCTATATGCAGGAAACCCTGGGGTTTAAAAATGATAATAATTCAGAACGCTTGTAACAATACAGAGGCTGTGGCTCTGCACATCAGCAGCTGCTGATACTGCCCATGGAGTCAGGATTCTAAGTTAAACTCTTCACTTTGTGATAGCTACACAAATCCTACAAAAATCCACCGAGCTGTACAGGCAAGCCTACATTTTTCTTCCATACCCTCCAATGCTCAAGCTCTAAAAGGGCCTTTAATTACCTTCTCCCTCTCGCTGGGCATCCTATTTTCCTTCAGGATTAGTAACATTTCACATATCAGTAATTTTGCCTTTAAGTATGTTCTTAGCACAGCCTGGTAAAACAGTAAACACTAAAGCAGTCGCTGACACCTTTCACCACGTATATCACCAGGGAGCGGATGGACACTTTTCATCTCTGCTGTTGCTGACTGATACTGAGAGCAAATCCCTTAATCCAGCCACGGGAGAGCTTCAGACCTAAATACCACAACCCACCGCCGAGGGTGGGCAGCATCACTGCAATCCCGGCAGG